GTTTGAGGAAATTACTCGGTTAAATAAACAACTGACAAATTAACTAAATGTATTTTTATTATCTATGTCATGAGAAACCACAAATTAAAAAAAAAACTTAAATTTTCGTTGATTAGAACCGGAGATATAGCGACTTATATATGAATTTATGAATTCAATTTTTGAAATAGTAAAATCGCTTCGCTTAAAACCCTTTATCTTTGGCGCATCATGGACGGCTCATTCTAAAAAAGCTCATTGTTTTTTTTTTGTTTAAACTTGAACTATTAGTCTTTCAAGTGGTTCTTTTTAAATTGCTTAGTGTTCATAAACAAAGCCTTAGTGAATTTTTGGAAAAAAGGCTAACTGCGCTTTTAAGGGTCGTAGGGCAATAGAATTTTTTTTTAATTAGTGTAAAAATGTAATTATGGCGAATAAAAAAATTAACTTCCTAAATTTCCTGTTTTACATTAATTTGCTGCAAATCGAACACAAGAACTACTTTTTCAGATGATATTGCAGCAGCAGCTTAATCATTTCGTTTGCTTGAGTAATCCAAATCAGCGACTTCTTTGTGTTGATTAAACTCTACCTCTACAGCGATTTTCTCGTCATTGTTTTTGCATTGCTTCAATTTGATAGAAAAATATCACACGTTTTACAGGTGTCAATGTGTGGCTTCGTAAATTTTTATCATGTCATCTTAAAAACGTTTTTAAACACATCGTAAGATCCAGGTTTACAACCACTGCTTTCACGATCTTTTTTATATTCATCGAACATTTTTTTAATGTTGAGATTGTTCTTCTTCTTCTCGTGCCACTCCTAGCGGAGATTGGAAATCATCATGGCCACTGCGACTTTGTTAGCAGCGCGCCTAAAAAGTTCAATCGAACTACACCCGAACCATTCACGTAGATTACGAAGCCACGATATTTTTCTTCTTCCAACACTTCTTTTGCCCTTAATTTTGCCCTGCATGATGTTTCTTAAAAGTTCGTACTTTTCACCTCTCACAATGTGCCTCAAGTATTCCATCTTTCTAGTTTTTATCTCATTTAGAATTTCGCATCTTTTGTCTAAAGTTTGGAGTACTTGCGTGTTAGTGACGCGGTCCATCCATGATATTCTGAGAATGCGCTTATAGCACCACATCTCGAAAGCTTCGATGTTTTTTATGGTCAACTGTTTTAGTGTCCAAGCCTCAACTCCATATAACAGGATAGAAAAGACATAACACCGCAGCATTCTTATTCGTAACTTTATATTGATATCACGATTGCAAAAGAGTTTGCGCATTCTATTAAAGACTGATCTAGCGATTTCTATTCTACATCTAATCTCCTTTGTTTGAGATTATTAGGTTATAATTTTGATATGTCTCGTCTTGAATAATGGCTCTCATATTTCGGATATTGTTCTATATGAGTTTTCATTATTTCTCTTTCCATCTTTTAATTTATTTGCAGGCTCGTGACGCACACGACACTCTGCTTGTGGAAACCCATTAGGACATTTTCTAATGATCATTCAATATCGATTTTGAATCATCGATCGTTCAATGTTACTGTCAAAAGCGAAGAGCTTCTACTGTACTACTAGACAATCCTCTGGTCAGTTATGTCTACATATATGCCTACATATTATTACCTGTTGCCAACTTCTGACTTTTACCATTGCATTTTTTTATGTATGGGTAATACTTGATATGTAACATATGTTTTGGCTACTTAAACTTTTCTTAATTTTGATATATCAACTTGTGCCACTGCATATAACACCTTCATTTTTCACTTAGACACATATTTACTTATACCACCTTCTTAAACATCCTTTTTACATATCAATTGAAAACCAAAAACACGATTTTTTTTACATATTAACTTCTGCCATAACACCACTGATTTATAATAGATCCATAACTAATTGAAGAAGCTATAATAGGAATGTAGACGTTGGACATACATTAACAGCAGTAAAACTTGAAAAACTGATACAGTAGACTCGCGATTATCCGAGCTAATTGGGACCGCACATACCTCGGATACCGAAAAACTCGAGTAACCCGGAAATCAAGTGGTTGCTTAAAATAAACAAAAAATTTATTAAGTTTATTGTGTACAATTGAAGTATGTTAAACTGTAAGCGAGTAGATAGTTAAAATAATTACGTACTTGATCATCTTCATGTTTTAAAAAAGTCTTTGATAGATTTCTGCATCAACTTCTGGCCTCGTTTTGAAGCTGCGACGTTTTGCTAACGCTGAAGATAAAGGACGTCGGTAGCGTTTGACTCTTCCTGTTGCTGAATGTAGGCAAAGTAAATAACAATATAATTAAAGTCGTTCCAATGAAGGAATCTCTATGAAATGAACGGATCTTTATGAACGGGTCATTTTAATGAATGACCTGTAAGACCCGGGTCAGCGAAACGAACCAGTTCTTCCCATCACTAATTCCTGTACATGGTGGACATGCAGTTTACTTAAATATTTTTAAAAGACCTTGGATTCTTCGATTTTCCAATGGTCTTAATTTTAAAGATCCAGAATAGTTGCTACACATCAAATGAGTTACTCGTTCTTTGTTTTTTCTATCCACGCGCAGTTTTTTACTTTGAGCTGCCAGTGTTTTAGTTGGAAGCATTCTGAAATTGAGATCCGTTTCGTCATACTTAAAGATTTGGTCTAACGTGAGATTATACTCTTAAATGAGATCTCTCAATTTTAAATTAAACGGCTCAATTTCAGATGAATAGACCGCAATTGTTTCACCCGAAATGTTCAGTTGTCGGATGCCATACCTCTTTTTCCATCTATCGAGCCAACCATCACTTGCAGTAAAATTTTCCTCGCCATCCTTAAATCGTTTGTGAAATTCAACAGCCTTAGCTTAAAGCATGCGGCCACTATTTGGGCTTCCCAACCTTCGAAAAAAACCATAAAAATAAGGCTTCAGATGTCTGTTCGTATTGTCCTTTCTTCATAGTTTTCCGCAACAAATTACTTCCACCACACATTTTTATTAACCGATTGTTCCATATATTTTCGTTTACGTCTCCAATCGCCCACAGTCACTTCTTCAACACTTAGGCACGCAGCAACCTTATTTAGTGACTCACCCTTATCCAAGCGTTTTATAGCACTTAATTTTGTTTCTAAAAAAAGAACAACTCGTTTACATTTTAAACTTATGTTGCACTTCAAGTTACGTAGAAACTACACAAAGGCAAGACATGAATGAACTTGTAAGAGCTTACAGTGGGGCGAACCGAACTGTTATGACTCAAACTGACGGGTAAAGGAGTCGCACAGTGGCTGGTGAGGAGGCCAGTATTATAGAAACACAGTGACTAGAACAATAACACTCGCTAGTGGCTCATCTCTTCAGCACACCAACAACCAGTGCAACGCTTTTAATTGATATCACTATTAAGCTAATTTATTACATAATTTGTTCTTTTAAATTACTACCGCGATTAGTCCAGAGGCTCGGTTAATCGGGACTCGGATAATCCCGAGTCTACTGTACCAAAAAAGCCGACAAGAGGAAACAAAGAAACAAACAAACAAAGAAACATGTAATTGATGGATTCGACCGTTACTTGATGGAAATTTAATTTATGTAACAATAAAACACTGAAAACTTTGTTTTCAAACTTCCACAAAATTTATTTTAAATCTTATCACTACAGCTGTTTCGGCTGATTGCCTTTCTCAAGTGATGATTTTGTGGAAGTTTGAAAACAAAGTTTTTAGTGTTTTATTGTTACATAAAGAAACATGTATCAAGCAAAATAACTTTGATATAAATTGGCAATATAACAGTTATAAATAAAGTGATAAATAGATAATATAATAAAGGAAATATTGTAAATAACACTTCTCGATCCAGAAGAATAATAGAGGTATGTTTTAACAGCCATCATATAGAGAGTTTTTTCAGAGTTTTTCCGAGAACATTTTGTAAGCTAAATATGGATCAATAAACTTTTGATAAACAACGTTTTTTTTTCGATTGTAATTAAATGTGCAATTCACTTGATTTTTTAAATTATGTAATATTTAAAAATACGATAACACTACCAAATCATCAATGGCAATAATGATGAAATTATTTATAATAACATCGTGTGATAATATTCATTTATCAGTCTTAAATATTTTCTTAAAATGTTGGAATCAAAAACTGTTAATTTGGTGAATTTAAAAGTGCGTCATGAAAAAGAAAGTAGGTTTAAGGCTGCCCTAGGTACGAGGAATTGGTACAAAGGACGCATATTTCCACAAAAACAAGGTGTTCTTGGATTAAGGTAACAAGTGATTTTTTCTTCTATAGAAATTTTATTATGGTGAATTACGTTGTTGATATGTGTCAAATATATCTTAAGAGTAATATAAAAAAATATATTGTCCATTTTCTGCAAAAGATGTGGCTTATGGTACGGTAAATATATCTTTCGCGATGTTGCCAAAATATCCATATAACACCCAACCTCTTATGTTCGGGATTATAATTCTCAACCTACTTAATGGATATGGGAGTTGCAGAAGAACAACTACAACAACTAAATTAAAAACCATTTTACCATCCAAAATCATCGACTTTTCGATCGCTTTTGTAAAAAGTCTGCTTCTACTGTTCCAAACTTTGCTCTAATATCATTGGTATTTCTTAGTAATCTTAGTATTTCATACTAAAACCATATTAACATCCTGTATAAACGCCAAGAAATGCTAATTTGAAACTTTTTTATTAGTCTAATTCAGTACTAATGAGTATAGATGTGAGCTTAGCGCATTCAACTTTGTTGCAGTGTTATTTTCATGAATGTTATTAGACCCTCTTAGACATGTTCTCTTACATATTTATTACAAAAAATATGTCGCAATTGTGACACTTTAGGTACCTACTCGAGTATGAAATATTACGGAGAGCTTTATATATATTTTATTTACTTGTGTACTAACAGTAATTTCATTCGAGGCAGATTTCATTGAATGTGTTTCTCTTTTGTTTTAGGACCATACAAGATCCTGCTAGTCAAAGACTGACTTGGTACAAACCACCTTTAACAGTACTTGTGATAAAAAAAGTTCGTGATGCGAGCGTATATTCACCATTTGTTCAACTTGTCCAATGGCTCATCGAGGTAAGTAGATGTTATATTATGACAATATTTATATTGAGAAAATAAGTGTGCAGAAGTTGTTTTTGTTTCTTATATTATGTACATAGATTATCCTTGACCAACACGTGTATGCTTCTATTATTTATAAGAATGTGGCTTTAACGAAAAAAGATAATGAAAACTCACTTGTTTACCTTTAGAAAGAGGTTATTATATACGTCTTCATAGGGCAGTTAATATTTTCTAAAGTCAATCGCATCGGTCTCACAAGGAATTTCTTTATATATTTTTAATCCTAAATCCATTACCCTAAGATGTCGGGTGAATTTTTTTATATAATTTCAAATTATTTGAGAAACGTTACACTGGGAGTAATATGCATGAATTAAGTTGCATTAGTGACAAATACCAGTCGTATATATTAGGATCCCTGTAATACCTCTTATGTTACTCTAAAACCATCAGAAATACACCTCCAAACACTATGTTCTCCCCGAGTAAAAATCCCATATCGTAACAATTTAATCATGGGATTAGATCGTTAATTCCCAGAGTGATCTATATAGAAACCCAGGGGTCGATGTTGACTGGTAGGAGGTCCACGACAACGGGAAAAGTAAATGGGGTCTACGAGATGTGAACGGGGGTCCGCGTAAAAGGATCTTAGAAATATATCTTACACGAACAGTATTTAAAAATTTCAATGACAATGAGAATGAGAAAATTTTATTTTAATTTTGCATGTAAATTATTTACCGTTCATAAAATTGCTCATATTTTTGCGGTATTCATTTGACCGTGTTTCATCAAAGTGTTTCCTTGCAAGTGAGTACGACGTTTGCATCTTGCCTACAGTTTGCGTAATTCTCTGTTTCTGATGACGTTCTTCTGACGATTATTTTTTAATTTGCTGTTCCAAAATTTGACTTCAGGATGGGCTATGCTTAGTTGCAAGTTTTTACAAGTTGTTATAACAACAGTAAGTAACGCCTACTTATGCTTGCAGGCAGGCGTTACTTCTATCTTTCTCGCATTTCTGTATAAAATTCGCCCAGTCCGTTCTGCCATTGGTTGGGGTACTATTATTTTCTTTTAGTATAATATGCTCACTGATTAGTAGTATTAGAAGTGGGACCATTATCCTTCTTCTATATTCATTAAATTTTTTGCAACTTTTCTTGAAATGAAAAAGTCAATTAAGTCGGTTGTTATACAGTGGGCCAATATGTGGGTTTTCCAGTTAAGTGCCATTTTCCATTTATTATTTCTATTGCTGTTTGTAATTCTCTTTTCTTAGTATTGGTTAACCTGGAACCCCATAAGTGCTTTTAACATTATTAAAGTCTGCACCAATGATAAATTTTTCTACAAGCGTGTTGAACAAATCGTCGGCTTTATGCAATAAAAATTGACAGAATTGAGTTAATATCACCAGAGGTCCTGAAAAAGTCTTATTTATGACCTGCAAAACTGGTACAATAATAACAACAAAAATGTCCGCTAGACGTCACTAGTGTCGCTATAACATGTTGTCGGTTGAGATAAATTGTTTCTTGCAGTACTGGCCCTTTTCAGTTGTGCAGTGGAAGTCGAAGCACTTATCGAACCATACAATATTAAGTTTCTATGCAATACCGGCACTTTTGAGTTGTGCCACTATAACAGACAATTTTAGATATTTTCAATTTGTATCAGTGAGAATTTTGGAGTTGTATCACAATAAATAAAAGAAATAAATTTATTGTTTTATGTCAGATCCGAAGGGTTATCAGAAAAGAAGTCAATTGATCATATCTCGAGCAGGAGTAACGAAAATAATAATATCAATATTATTTTAATGTATAATTCCAAATAATCGACTTAGTAGAAAATTTTAGACGACTTTTTGTTTACATCTACTGTATTGTTCTGAAGCTATTTTCTTGTGGCATTGTAAATTAATAACTATTAAACTGGGATATTATATTATATTAATTAATTACTTACAATGTCGGGATAGTATTATGAGGTTTTTTTCCTGGTTTTCCCTCATAATTTACTATGGAATCACTAACAGGAGAAATTTACTGACATCATGTCATGTGTTTGTCTTTTTAAAGACGAATTACATGCTATGATTTTTTTCTGACTGATATTCTCAAGTTAAAGTTGATTTCATGTAATCGAATGAACTATCTTATAAGTAAAGTCGTCCCAGGAGCGCAACTCAACAATATTGGCAATATCATTTTAAAGTCGTCTACTTTAAAATGCATAATGTATGTCTGAATTGTCAATATAAATGAGTCAGATAAAATTAAATTATTAGAAGAATTTTTCACTATGTAACAAAAAACAAAATTTGTTTAATTTACTGTTTGTATTTTGAGAACGATTTCCGAAGTGGAAATTGAAACGTCAATAAACGTATTTTTATCTTTAATTGTGGCTTATTCCCAGTTTAATAGTAATTAATTTACATCTACTGGTTTAAACAACAAATAAACCCATTTTAGTTCACACCAAACGGTTCGCAGAGGATCGTCTATTTTAGGCATGACGATTAATAAACCTAAAAGTAGGAAAACGAAGGCTTGTCCGGACCAGTGGAAAAGAAATGTCAAAAAGTTTCTTAGACTTTCAGGCCAAAAATACACCAATGTTAACAGTTATCTTCTACAGACTCGAAGTTTAAGTCCATCTTGCAATCCATGTAGACTGAAATGTGATGAAAAGGGAAGATGGAAAATGGGTTTATAAGCAAAGATCAAAGAAGTAAATATATCATGCATAAAACATTTTATAACGAAACTATGAACAGGGTTCGTAAACACCTTTCTTCAATTCCGAAAATGAAGAGCCATTAATGTCGAAGTAGTACCTCAAAAAAATATATAGAAGGAGGTAAAACATGGACAAATCTGTACAATGATTGTAAAGCTCATTGTCAGAGACAATGATAAATTTGTAAAAATTGGTTTATATCGTAAACTTTTTGTTATGAATTTGCCTATGCATTATTTTCTGACAAAAAAGATCAAAGTCAGTATTGTAAAAAAAAACAGAAATTCGAGCAGTGAAGAAAAAATAGCCCTAGAAGATGCCTATAATAACCATCATAAGGAGAAAAACTTAGCCGTGAGTTAAGAACGCTTACAAAAAGTTGCTTGTTTTGACAAGCTGCTCTACCGACACCAAAAGGAGACGTTTCCGCTTTGTATTATAAATGTAAGGTGTGAACATATCATTTCTGTATATGCTAACTTCAGAAAAAGGGACTGAGAAATGCACAGCTTTGCTTGGCACGAAGTAGAACGCAGTAAAGAAATAGTGCCATAGAAATTCATTCGTGCTTCGTGCCTGCTGATGTATCTGGAACAAACATCTATAAAAACCGATTCTAACGATTTGAAATTCATATTTTACTCGGACAATTGTGGTGGCCAAGGAAAAAACAAGTACATAATTTCAATGTATCAGTGCGCTGTAACTTATTTCAAAATTTCTTCTATATCTCATCGCTATTTAGTTTTCGGTCAGATTCAAAATAAAGGTGACAGCTGTCACTCTTTAAAAGGAAGAAATATCACTAAACCTTTAAAAGCAAGGCCTATTTATCTACCGACTCATTACGCTATGCTTATCCGAACTGCTTGTTGAAAACAATAATTCGAATATCATAATGATTTTGTTGACCTGAAAAAGGTAAATACCAAAACAGCGACAATTTTCAATGAAGATGTCCAAGGAAATACTTTTTATTTCAACGATGTTGGTGAAATTCATGCAACAAAAAGCTCTGGTACTCACTACTATTTTAAAACTTCATTTGCACAAGAGGAGTACAGATCAGTTGATAACACCACGAAAAAAAAACGAGAAAAGGTTTAGAAAGCATGGATATTATAGAACGAAAAAAGGCTTACACTGGCAGTCTGCCAATAACTGAAAAGAAGAAAAAGAAAAAAGATCTTCTAGCCTTTGTGAAGACAAGAGTTTTCCACCAATTTACGCTGATTTCTAGCTATATGCAAAGTATTGTGAATCATAACTTTTCCTATTATTATCAATATATACTTTTTTTATTTCGTCCTTCTTCTAGTTGTTAATAAAAACATTTTTTTATTCAAGTAACTTGTAGTATTCTTTATTAAACCTTTATTTCAGTTGATAGGAATAAAAAAAAAAGAATGCCAGTTTAGTTTTCTTAGCATAATTAACAGGCCAACGATGAAAAACCTTTTTTAACTCTCTTTTATGTATTTTAGTGTGCTATTTGGTGTGTGTATTTAGAGTCCGAAAATCATATTAAAAATGCTGTATCATCCACAATTCTTTCAGAATTTAACATTTAAAATTGCATAAATACATTTTATTTCGTTTCACGAGCAGAGAAATCTAATGTTACTTGGTTGATAGCACTGTTAATGAATTATACAACACTTTTGTTCTTCTTCCTCTTCATTAACAGCTGTATAGTTCGTTCATTATAATAATCATAACCTTACTTTTCAGTAATTGACTCATACGCTTTTAAGTATGGCTAGTCTCGGTTGTAAAAACTGTCCAAATACTTTTTGTTACATATGTGGTGATTTTGTTATTAAAAAACATCAAGAAAACATTACTGACTTTGTAAAAAATGTGTATTTGGAATATTCTTGTGTGAAAATTGGTGATCAAGACAAAGGTTGGTCTCCTCACAATGTATGTTATGTTTGTGTTGAGTATTTAAGAAAGTGGTCGAAGAAAGAAAAAAAGCTTTCAGATTTACAGTGCCTATGGTATGGAAAGAGCAAAAAAATCATTCAACGATTGTTATTTTTGTACTGTCCATGTTTCTGGATATACCTCCAAAAATAAGTAAGTGATTGTTTACCCTAATCTCTCTTCTGCTATCCGACCGATAGAGCATGGACCTGAAGTGCCAGTCTCTGAGCCTCATTTAGGTATTGATGACATTTTAAATACTAGTAAATCAGAATCTGATGAAAGTGGTCCAGGGAGGGATGGTGAATTTTAGTGTCCTTCAGAAAATTCAC